CATGACTCAGTTTATTTGTTTTAGACTGAAATCTGGATTTTGTTGAGTTTGACCACAAAGGACGAGACCTGAACGACACCTGAGACCAGCAGACACTCCGGCTCTGCCAAAGCTATTACTGGGATATATTGCGTGTGTGTGTGTGTGTTAGTGTTAGTGTGTGTGTGTGTGTGTGTGTGTGTGTGTGTGTGTGTGTCTTCAGAGGGATGGATGTCAGGAAGTGCATTATGGGAAGGAATGAGGGGCGTGGGATGGAGAAAATGTTTGGTATTCACATCCAGACTCAGCAGGGGCGAAAGAGGGGGAGAGTCCCTACTTTGCTTTTGGGGACCAAGACGACTCACTCTCTTTCTCACACACACACACACACACACACACACACACACACACACACACACACACACACACACACACACTGTATTCTGACCGTACATTCTGTCTTTTCCCTGTCAGTCCATGAACTCATAACATGAAAAACACACAAAACCCCTTTTATCTCATTTTCAGACCCCCCGCCATCTCTCTCTCTCTCTCTCTCGTTCTCTCCCTCTCTCCCTCTTTCGCTCTCTCTCTCTCTCTCTCTCTCTCTCTCACGTCTCTCTCTCTCTCTCTCTCTCGTTCTCTCGCTCTCTCTCTCTCTCTCTCGTTCTCTCTCGTTCTCTTTCTCGTTCTCTCTCTCTCGTTCTCTCTCTCTCTCTCTCTCTCTCTCTCTCTCTCGTTCTCTCGCTCTCTTCTCTCTCTTTCTCGTTCTCTTTCTCGTCTCTCTCTCTCTCTCTCTCTCTTTCTCTCTCTCTCGTTCTCTCGCTCTCTCTCTCTCTCACATTCTCTCTCTCTCTCTCTCTCGTTCTCTCTCGTTCTCTTTCTCTCTCTCTCTCTCTCTCACACACACCTAACAACACAATGCTGTCTCTCTCTCTCTCTCTCACACACACACACACACACACACACACACACACACACACACACACACACACACACACACACACACACACACACACACACACACACACACACACACACACACACACACAGTCTCCCTCCCCTGGCTCTCAGGCTTGTTAATCTGCTCTGTACACATTCACACTGATACGGTTTGATTCAAGCCTTCACAGTGTTCACTTTACAGAGTCGTGGATTTCCCCCAGTAAACCAGATTTTCATGGTTTCACATTCTGGATTAGACCGAGTTCACCCGCAGCCATCCGAAGTTAAAACACTTTTCACTCAATGCAATGCGATTAATTCTCAAAGTGCTGCACAGAATGTAGATCTCCATTATTGTCATCTGATCGCCGTCACACATGCCCTTTTCCAAAAATCAGTACAGATAAGTTCACAATCTAAAATAAAATAAAAATATTATGACAATATAATAAGTATCAAGTGAAAGCAATAATAAAGTAGTCTAAGTAATAAGATATGTTCAAGCGCATTCGAGTAAATATAAACAATATTTACAAATATGAGTATACACTGATGGATTAACAGCGTAGATATTGCACGGTTCACTTTTGATGTATAAATATTGTCCAGTTTTCAAAAGATTGCACAGTTTTAGTAGAACATTTAACATTAACTAACAGAGACCCATCTGTATATTTTAGTACATCATTCATTGACTTATGAATAAATGGAGAAACCAAAATGACCTGCTAACAATCTTCAGGCTATAGAGACTGAGTCGTAAGAAAGGAACCGAAAGAAGATGTTTTAAAGAGCAGGTAGAACGAGTCAGGAGTGGGGCATCCATCATACCAGACACCCCCCCCCCCCCCCCCCCGAGGACTCTGCAGAGCACGGTATTTCCCAGACCTGTCATCTATTTCAGCGCTGGCTCGTAGTGGTTCTATGGTCGGCTAATCAACTTTTAGCTTCCTCCTGAGCAGCAGTGCTGCTGTGAGCCGCGCTGAGAGCTCTAATGAAGACAGACGAGGGGGGGGGGGTGTGAGGCTGAGATGGATGCTCGTAGATCAGAGGCTCTGCGGCGCTCGTAGCTGTCAGTAACAGGCTGGTTGTTATCATCATCAGACTTATTGATTGGTGTGTTGGGAGGTCATTTCCTGTCTGTGTGTCTCTGCATTGTTTTTGTACAGGAAGGTGTCTGAATCACCCTCAGCTCCTCTAACACTCAGGTACTGGAGAAGTGATTTGATGCTTTTATTACTGATTCTCCATTGTTTTGAGCTTTTTGCTAAACATAATAAATCTAACATGTCCGTATGTGTTGGCGTCTGTGGTGAGCTGACACATCTACTTCCTGTTTGATTGAATAGAGTTTAATGTAAGTGATACAGCCATAGAGATCCAAAGAAGTCTTCTGTTTCCTTCCCAGTATTTACTCTTTGGAAAACAACCTGTCGCTGGTGAAATGCATCTCATGGTTTTTGTCATGTAACGTGTTGGCATCTTGGAAACAATGCCAATCCATTGTGCAACTGAGAGAAGAAAGCCTCCTAAAATGTGATTAACAACATTTCAATCAGGAGAGACTTTAGGGTTCGATCCCCGGCTCCTGCAGCAACATGTCCAATGTGTCCTTGGGCAAGAAGCTTAACACAAAGTTGCTCCTGCTGCTTGTTTGTGGTGTATGAATGGGATTCGTTACTTCTGATGGTCTCTTTCCACAGCAGCCTCTGCCATCAGTGTGTGAATGTGGAGGTGTGACCTGTGGTGTTAAAGTGCTTCGAGTAGTCAGAAGACGAGAAAAGAACTAAACAATCTCAACTCCATTTACCATGTTTGTGTCTGAAAAACTGCAAAGTCCTAAGTTGTCTGTGCAAAGTTGATATACCTGTAAATAAAAAACCATCAGTGTAACTTTAAGACACGAGGATCTCCCAATGTCTCAACCCCAAACCCAAATAACACCGGATCAAACTAAACAGTCGCGGCTTCTTTTGCCCCCTTGAGTGGGCTAAGTTAGAGCTCCTGTTAGCATTTAGATGTAACGCTATCTCGTTAATTCAAGAAAAAAGGAACCGATTTTGTTTCTCAAGTGAATTGAATATGTAAAGTAAATAAATACTTGAATACATGATGAAAAAAAACAACTTTGTTTCATGTTTAAGCGCCTGAAACAGTTTGGATTGGTTAAGAGATTTTGGCTTTGAACCCTGTGGCGGATCGCTGCAACATGTCAGTGTGGGGTTCTTTTTAAAGTTCTTCATAGCCTTCATGAGCTCCATGAGTCACAGCCTCTCTGCTAACCGACCCTGTGAGAGGGTCGACTCATGGAGCCAAACTACAAATACAAACCTCCTGCTCTTTGTGGAACACCATCTGCTCTCATGTCTCCTCAGAAAACCCCCCTGACCCCTGTTCTTTAACCCTGAATGTTTCTGTTCCAGGAATGGATCCGTCCATGGGCCAGGAGAGGAGAGCTCCGGTCACCCCGTCCTCATCCTCACGTTACCACCGGCGACGGTCTTCTGGCTCCAGAGACGAACGCTACCGATCAGGTATGGAGGCTTTTTGTTTTATCTGTGAGACAACTTGTCCTTATGATGTCTGCTGTTGGTCTAAACCAGAACTACAGGAGGACCCTGATTCATTCTTTAATCTCTCCTCCTGATATCTGGATGTGAAAGCTTTACGTATCAAACCTCTTAAAGGCTTTATATGCGATTTCTTTGATCCAGCAGATGTCGCCCTTGAGCACCAGCATGAAACCAAAACAACTCGCGCTGCATTGTTGTGTTAGCATGCTAATGCTAGCGATCTTTATTATGCTGGTATCTTCACACTGCATGTAAATTTACCTGAAATGAGCGTGATCTAGAAACACAGTTAAGCAGTGAGTACAGTATGTTATTCTTCTTTTCTCTAGTCCCTCAATTAAACAACTTTTATACACGAGGGGAGGAGTCAGCCGGCCGTCCCGGCGATGTAAACAAAGTGAAGATAGGACTCTGAAAACTCTGAAAACATCACAGACAGTGGGACTCGGGTGATACACCCATTGTAGACAGTCATGACTCACAGAGTTATTTTCAGAGGATATACTTGATTTCTACATTTAAGTCTAAAAAATCACATATAAAGCCTTTAATAAAGTATATTACTTTAAATACAAAGGTCTAACTCTGGAGGGAAGCTTGACCAAAAGTTGTTCAAACACTTTGTGTAACAATCTGAAGCCCTTTAAGACGGCTTTTCTTTTGGAGAAAAGAAAAGCCGCCATCACGTCTTCGTATATTCATATTATACTTTAGATTTGTTTTTTTGCATCCAGACCTTTTTGCACACATAAACTCCCCCTCTGCATCTTTTTCTGACACATTTCTGAACACAGCGCTCCAGTTGGTATTCTGGTCTCTCTTGCAGAACGGGATGCAGCTAATCCGGCCTTTGGCGTCAATCTGTGGAGAAAGCTTGACACACTTCTTGTAACTTGCATTGTTGCTTTAGTTCCATCTGTGTCCGGTGAAGATTAATACGGGATTAAGGAAGGATTTTTAACTTGGGTACATTCTTTTTGTGGCATCTCGTTCTAAATTAATCTGTCGTTCTCATTCTCTTTGGTGACGTTTCAGGTTGGCAAGATATGCAGCAGACTAATAAGAAAATGAACCCACAGTGTTTTTCTTATTACCTTCCCCCATGCTGAAGTTTGTTTGACTTTAATCTGACAGAAAATAAATCCTGTAAAAACCTTTTAACCCATTCAATTGAAAAGGAAAAGCTGTGTGAGCACCTTAAACTCACCCCCCTCACCCCCCCCCCCCCCCACACACACACACACACACACACACACACACACACTCCCCTCCACACACCGCAGTCACACTCAGTCAACCGTAAGACAATAAACGCGCACTTGAGAGTTAAATCACCTCTGTTCCCCCTACATAAGCACACACATAAGCCAAACAAACGTTGGCCTGTGAGCGCCGTTCACTCTGACAAATGTTGTACTTATGTCATTACGGGGACGACAGCCTTCCGTCGTTAGCGGCTTGTGTTTGTCTGCTGCCGGCAATGGACGCCGTTCAAACAAACCCCAGCTGTGTGGGCTGTATCGCGGCGCTTCATCTCACGCTTAGAAAACACTCGTTTAAGAAAATCTCCTCGCCCGACACTCCCTTAACCTAATCCAGTCTGAAACCACAGCGGCCCCCGTGGGAGCCGCTGACAGGCCGGAGATGTTTGTGTACGTAAACTGACTGTTTATAGATGGGAACACAGGGCTCATTGTGACGGGAACACTGCAGCACAAATACAGCTGATAGTCCTGCGGCTGTGTTTCTGCCCGGCGCCCTTATTGCCGCGCTGTAACAGGATGACTTTTCTATTATTTAACACCAATTCCCAATGTTTAAACTGGAGGCCACAGTTATTACTGGTGCCTCAATGGACACCTTTTTTTTTTTTTTAAACAGAGGGGGAAGAAGTTCCTCGACTCCTGAGTAAGGAGCCTTTGCTTTATTAGAAGTGAAAGTCCTTCAATCAGGTCTCTGTGAAAGGTTCCTTTGACACCTTCAACAGGATACGGCAGCTCTTTTAGTTTATGTATCGACCCTCTCTTTTTATTTCTCTCTCTGTGTTGGTTTTGTTTTGTTCTCCTTTTTTAGTGTTTACTTATTTATGATTTTTTTTTTTATGACTATATTTATATTTCATACAACTGTATCACCTAGTTTTATCTTGTTTTGTGTGTGTGTTTGCTCATGCATGCAAATCAAGCAGCAAACTCTGGTGTTGAAAAATGAAGCCGATGCAGAAGTGCAAAGTCATGCAGTTCATCGAGGGTAAATATATGTTCAGAAACACTGTACAAGAGGAGTTTTCATAATATGTCTCCTTTAAGTAATCAAATTTTTGCTTTTTTGGGGACTAATTGACTTGTATGAATAAATGGTTTTGGAAAAGCTCCTGGAGTTTGCTTCAGTCTGTCATTGATGCAACATAATCTTTCAGTTTAAATGGTACTTCTTTGGGCTTCTTGTTCCAATTATTCTCAGTGTCTGCAAACATTACTAAAGTATCACAACAGAGAAATACATATCTGTTATAGAGTTTCCAAGCAGAAACAGCTGTTTCATCACCAGACTTCAAAACACCAAAGTCCCTACCCCTTAACTTCTGTTCTTAAAGGAAATATTAATATCTGAGTTGGTGGAATAACAGAGAGAGAAATTCGTCTTGAAGTTTATTTCCATGTTGCAAAGTTAGGAAAACAAATCCAGGGCTTTTTGGCAGGCAACGTATAGGAAATGGTCAAAACTCCTATAAAGTGGACTGGACAACTCTACATAGTGGACTCACTCTTTGTGCACAACCACATACAAGTCGTGATGCTGTAGTTTTCTGTCTTTAGCTAAGTGGATTCAGCCTCAAAACCCCCTGAGGGCTTCTGCTCATGTGATTGTTTAGATGATCTGACCTAACAGGTTTTGTGTATTCGTGTCTCCAGATGTGCACACAGAAGCGGTGCAGGCGGCCCTGGCCAAGCACAAAGAGAGGAAGATGGCGGTGCCGATGCCTTCGAAGAGACGGTCGCTGGTGGTCCAGAACTCAATGGATGCTTACACACCACCAGGTAGGTACACAAACCAACCAAACAGCTGAACGTTGTACACACCAGATGAACCAGTTTGAGTAGCTTTGAGTCCGGAGTGGTCTCAAGGAAATGTATGTAACGACTTCAGCTTCTCCACATCCCAGTACTTTAAATTGGAGACAACATGTTGGCGCCATGAATCGATGCCAATGAAAGTCAAACAAGCATCCGTTATCGGCTTCATCGTCTTTTTGAAAGTCTACATGGTGTTTGAAGAGCGAGGAGATTTATGGGTCAACAAACTAGAGTGTCCAAGGGGTCTAGAGGGGTGACACAGGCCCTGATTAGCCACCCCTGGTACCATCCTAAAATCCTTCATTGTGATTGGCTGTCTACTTTGTCAAGTGCCGGAGTTACATGAAAATCAATTATTTAAGATGTGTTCCAACAGGCTTTGCATTTCATTGAAGCAGCATTTCCTTCTATTAGTACTTTAGATTTTGACTACTAAGATGCTAAAGACGGCTTTAGCGTACACTGAACGATTTCAGGTTGATTTTGACTCGATCAGTGTCACAGCATAGCCACCCTAAAATTCCTCAACTTCAGGATTGTTTTTTTTAATTTTTTTATTGTACCTGCACAAACTGACAGACAACGTCCAAAAATCACCATGGCAACAGCAGGAACGCCTGTATAATCTGTCTTTCCCCCTTCCGATCGTGAAAGAAACATCGGCAGGAAATATCCGCGGACCTCCAGCTGGCAGGAGACTATTTGTTATGATTCAGCTGCTAGTTAGCTTGTGTTTGTCAGTGATACTGAGTGTGTGTGTGAAAGAGAGAGAGTGAGAGAGTGTTTTTTTGCCCGTGTGTGTGTTTTTGAATTGTGCATATGAGAGAACTGAAATACATATAGATCTATTGACAATTCTAAATGCTTGGTCCCGATTTAACTCGTATAGTGTGAGTTCTCAGGTCATGCTCCACCATCAGCGACATTTAGCCTGCACATGATTCATAGAGCTTAAAAGATAAAGGGAAGGTGTGAACCTGTTTGATGGACATTAACGTAGCAGTCATTAGGATTCAACCCCTGATAGTCTACATTCTATTTAACGACACTCTATGAGGTGATTGAGTTAACGCTCTCTTCTCTGAAGTTTTTGTCCAACAGGCTAGATAACGTTTTATGACCCATATAGAGCCTTAATGCCATCATATCTTAAAAACAGCCTCGCCTGACATTGTGCATCATTTCTATTGGTGTTGTCGTTGGAGTGTTGAGGGTTTTAAAAACCTGCAGGAGTCATTGGTGTTAGCCGACAGTCACAGGTCGTATTCCTGCTTCAGAGCCCCCTGCTGCCTTTGGACTCTCTGAGGAGCGTTGCCAGAGATAGAATATTGCTTTTCTAAGAATGGGCAAGTGGACACATCACACAGATGATTTCAACCGTGCAGCGTGCAAAGCGAGGAAGTGTCAGAGGTGGGAGGCGGTGGCAGTCGTCCATGTCTTCATGGAGCTGGTGTGGTTTAATGAGGGTGTTAATGAGGCCATTATTTCTCTGGCTGCAGGGTCGAACTTCACAGAGCTCCACTAAACGAGCCATGATTTACACACAGAGAGGACGGGGGAGATTAAATGAGAGAGTTTTTTTGGGGGGATCAGAACAGATTGTGCTAACTCTGCTCCCTCATCACATTTGACAAATTGGAGGATTTTCTAATGAACACCTGGATGCCTCCAAATGTCAAGTTTTTATTTGTGGACATTTCCAAACCATTAATCTTCCCATCATCCTCCTTGGTCCACAAACCAAAGGCTGGCCTTAATTTAACAACAGTGATTTATTATAAACAAAACAAATGAAATATCAACAACTGAAACCAAATAGGCTCACGGTGAACAAAAGCCCAAATAACAAACTCAACCAAAATCAGCAGTTTGACTGATACTGAGTGATTCATATTTTGTTCACTCAGTGAACTCAGACTGTTCCTTACACCACTTTTGACTCACACGACTGATTTTGAAGTCGCCCGCTTGACCACTTTACAGAGGAGCACAGAGATCCGATCAGAGCCCCCCCCCCCCCGATTGTCTAGTTTAAACTGTTAAACTGGCAGACAGCATCTGGAATCACCATGGCAACAGTGTGTCTTGATGTGTCTTCACCCTCCTATCGGGAAAAATATGAGCAAGAGTAACATTGGCGGGAAATAGCTCAACCTCCAGTTGACAGGGAATATTTGTTTTGATTAAACTGACAGTTAGTGTGTTTAATGGTGATGCTGAGTGTGTGTGTGTGTGTGTGTGTGTGTGTGAGACAGAGAGAGAGAGAGAGAGTAACAGCCCTTTTGACGGTGTTTGCATTAGAGCATGTGAATAAGACGACTGACTTCAACTTCAGTCTGTTGGAGTTTTTAAAGAAAACTTTATTAACAACTGTCAGTGCTTCCTCCAGTTTAACACGTACAGCGCTCAGTACGACTCAGGTCAAGCTTGACAATCGGTCTGAACACATCATTTGCTTTGTGTTGTGCGTCATAAACGATTCACCCTGACGGTATGGTAACACTCCATCACAACACGATTATACGGTCACACAATCTATTCCCCGCCTGAGCCTCAACGCTTTGATCAAAAGAAAGTCACTTGACTCCAAAGACATAAAATAGTTGTGGCCAAAATACCAAACATGAGGTTATCCAAACGAGTGTATGTCTTTACTTTG